TCATTATTAGAATGTTGTCATTATTAATATTTCTTGCTTTCAAATAATTAGATGAAACCTAATGACTTTTCCCTGGCTCATGTTTAGCTGTGTGAGTACAATTCTTCTTCTGCATTTTAACTCACAAAGGGTTTTTTATTCTTCTAAACTTGACCACGACATGGAGTATAATACTAAATATATTCTCTTGTTATGTTTATTTTGTAAATAAATCAAAGATAACCACTTTTTGTTCTTTTTAAATATGTTTTGTATTTATGAGGACACAAATACAATCATATTGTATTTTTTATAGTGCTCAGAACATTTCCACTTTAGAACGATAGGATTTGAAAGTACATTGTGTACCAAATAGATTTCACTCCTCTTTTATCTATTATTTAACTGTGCTCCAATTAAATTGGGCTGCTTTGAACTAAAGAAAAACCTGCTTTTATTTTCCATTTTAGGATTATTCTCCTATTTTGTAATGTCTTTGGTACATTATTCTGAATGCAGAGATTGTTTTACAGTATAGACATCCTGTCCTGGTAGCAGCATCACCATGTTAATATAAATAATCTATTGTTTTATAAAATAAAGATATGATTTTATTAAAACCACAAATACTCATATTATGCTTTTCTCCATCTTTACTTTCCCTTAGCAGCAAAGACAAATGTAAATTCAGAACACATCGCAGTATATATTAAGGCCATCCTCCACATTAATGATTTCTTTGTTTGCTTCTCTCAGATGAGTATCACTAATACTTATCCCAACTTCACCATTGTTTGCAAAAATGTCCTCCTGGGTTTGCCAAAGCAGCCTAAGCCATTTCATGACCATCTAAAGTGAAGTACTTGTATCATATATTAAAAAAAATTGTATCATATATTAAAGTAATTTTTTAATGGGCACTCTCAGCACCTAAAACACCAGAACCCATTGTAGTTGTCATTGGACATGGTGTACCCTGGCACTTTCAAGTGGTTATATGACAAGTCATGTTTGAAAGGTTTGTCATTACCCATTGTTCCTCCAGGCAGACATGGATCCTAATAGCCTTTAATGAGAAATATTGCTATTTTTTAAATTTCCTTTCCGCATTAACAATATTAATTCTGTGTGTGTTTGGACAGAATTATTGGCTGTTAGTGTCAGCTAACCCATTCAACAAATTAATTCCTTACAAAGTTGGACAAAATTGATATTGATAATGCATAAGGGGCAGATCCACTTTAACAATATCTCTAATGAGGGGCTGGGTCACTAGTTTCCAAGGAACACATAGTTGGTATCAACTAGTGAAAAACAGTTTGTGAAATAATTGTGGAATAGCGAGTGCCAGCAGAATCTGGGCACTATTGCAACTACAACAGGCAACAGTGTTTATGGTGATTGGAATGCACCTTTAAGTACAATCTAGGTTACTTTTGTGACCAAAAAAAAAAAAATGTATTTAATTAAAATATTTAATGTATTTAATTACATTCATCATAGTGATTCAAAGCTACTTACATACTTACATACTTTCTATGCCATGTATGTGTGCTATTGATTATAAAATGATTAATGGGCTTCACTGATCACTGTTTCCTTCTATTTAATCTAGTGCACCAGGAAGTGGTCCCATGTTCAAGTCAACAACTGTAACTGTTAGAGATCATATTTGTGAAAGCCTTCAAAGTGCCATTGTTCGCTCAGTTGATAAGGAAGAATCAAATAGTGCCCCTTTCAATGGTTCCAGTGTGATGTCTGTACTTTTGTCCAGTTCAGAAAGCTCAAAAAACAATACCCAATGTGTTGATGATCAGATCAAACAAACTAAAGAACATAGAGTGAGTTTCTCTTTTGCATTTCCTAAAAGGACTCCACTTAAACTTGAATCTTCAGCAGCTGTTTTCTATGAATTTAATGATGAAATTATAAGTGAGCATGAGGTCAAAAACCAAAGGAATTTGGTCACCGAATCATTGATTACACAGTCTATTGTACCAACACAATGCTTGAAAGAAGAAATACAACCTGCAACTGTTTTAGAAAATCACACATATGATGAAGGACTTTCCTCGATGGACACAAATCAGAAACTAGTCCAAGAAACTGAATTAACTAACTGTTTAAAGTCTGAAGCTTGCCCTGTAAAAGTGCCTTTGGACTTTGGAGCCTCTGTAAAGTTGGAGGCACATATGCTTTTAAAGCAAATGCCAAGTACGGAGGATCTTGAAAATGTACAAATGACTGAGATAATATCCACATCTGAGACAATCAATGGAAAATCTACCAGTGAAGACTGCTTTAGCTCTGATTTAGACCATTCAAAAAAACCTGAGAATACAATGTTCAATAAGTTTGAAAATTGCACTACACTTGTAGAGGACCTTACCAAAAATGTATCAAATTCCATTTCATCAACTTGCATTGAATTGGATACTTCAAAGGCACAAATGAAATGCACATCACATAGACGATTGAGTGAAGCTTTTCATCCAGTAAAAAGTAGAGATGGCTCAAGAGTTCTTCAATGGCCCTCTGAAATGTTAATGGATACCTGTACACAGCCATCAATTTCCTATAGCTGCAATCCCCTATATTTTGACTTCAAAGCTTCAAAAACAACAGAGTGTAGAGGACAAAGTAAAAATTTACAATGTGGTCAAGATAGAGAGTTTTTCCATCAATGTGATAAAAATAGATCACATCCACAGACAGTCACTGAATTTAAAACAAAGTGTGATGGTCAAAATGATGGGTCACAGTCTACTAAACATAGCAGAAACAAGAGTTATGATCTTACAAATTGTCAGAATAACCTGAAATGTTGTGGTCTTATTTGTAGCATTAAACAAAATGAAAAGAATATAATTTCCAAATATTATCTTGCAAAAGATGATAGCATGGATCCATCAAAAGGCAAAAATAAGACCAAAGTCAATAGGAAATCTATTCGTAAATGTGAAAATAGGAAACATCAGAGACAACACATACACATAGTCAAGATGCCCAAAATCAGATGCAGAAAAAAGTGTCGAATTTTTTGTAATACAAAAAGTCTAGAAAAACCAACTGTGGAATCAAAAGACTCGTTGTGTTCAATAAAAAAATTAACAAATACAAATCAAATGCCACACACTGAGCAAGAACATATACAAGAATTTCTCAGGATACCAACTTTACACATCAAAAAGGAATGCAGGATTTGGAATGTACAAAGCAAAAAAGAATTTAACAGTTATTCAGAAAAGGAGCCCGGCAAAAATATAGTGTATTCTAGCCAATCAGAACAGTTAACGTTAAACAAAGACTCCAATGATAGAACTAATTCTGAAACATTATGTAGCTGGAACGTAGAAAAAACGCAGTCAACTCTTCAAAAACATGAAATATTTTTAAATAAAAGTTGTTCTGTTAAAAGAGTGCATACCTCTGTCATTGATGAAACACACTTTGCCTGCAAGAGACCTAGATTGTGCAAACCAATTTCTTCATCTGTCCCAAGAATAATTTTCCCCATACAAAAACTTTCTGCGATATGTGAGCACTTATGGATAAAATCAAGACAAGCAGGTGATATTAGGCCAGATGGCAACATAAACAGAGGCCCATGTTCCAAATCCTTATATGCCAAATCTGCAAATGATATGCTAGCAAATAATAGCAATCAATCAGAAATAACATCTTTTAGGGCAGCAGAGTTTCTCCAAAAAATCGAAAAGTTTAAGAAAGTGGTAGAAAATAAAATTGACCAACTGTGCAAGAGCCTTTTTGATTTTACGGATAGAAAACAAACACAATTATTTTGTACTGGGAACATTCCTGAAACTGAAACAAATGTCAGAAATCCACTAGCTTCTATAAAACAGAAAGATGTTTTGCCTGAAGGAAAGATCATTGAACAAAACAAGCAACATGAGAGTGGAATTCCTTCCCTACCTTGTAGCAATAGAAAATCAGAACCGTGCATAATGAAATCACATTTATCAGACAAGTTGGCAGGGGAAGTGTATAATGAATCAAGAAGGAACTGTATAAAATGGAACACAGAGACTTTATCAACGCAGCCATCACCATGTAACGAAAAACGCATTAACAGTCAAACATTTATAAGCGAGAAATTGCTTTCTCATGTTGGCCTAACCTATCAAGATACTTTTTTTCCTCCCAAAATTTCAAAGAGGCATAAATATCATCAATGTGGAGCATACAGGCATACACTACGGCATGGTATAATGCCTAGTAAATTAAGACTAATAATTCCTACAATAGCAGTTCAGTCATGTGCTTCTTTGTATCCAGTTCAATTAGAGCAACCATTTTGTTCTGCTTCAGTAGCTACAGTACAGCCTACACTGTTACAGCATCCTGCAACTGATGCTTTCGCAGCTACCTCTGTAGAAAATGTTAAACTTGTAGATCCTCCACAGCATTTTGTACAACCACAATGTCATGTTTTCTCAAGAACTCCATTTTATCAAATAGCAGTAGAGCCTACATTCTGTCCAAGTGATACTTTTATCTCTTCACCCCAAGTACCAGTCCTACAAAATTCCATGTTTTGTCATATTCCGGTGCCTTTTCCTCAAGTTTCTCATGCCAGTGTTTTCCCCATTATTCATCCACCTCATCCACCTCTCATTCAAATGCACCATCTTCTTTAGTGTTCAATTCTACCTAGTAGTTTTACTAGGTGGCAAAAAGACTAAGGACTTTGCTAGGTGGCAAAAAGACCAAGGACTTTATAATTCCCTTAATATATGTTGGCTTAAGCCCCTTTTAAAACCAGTCCTATATGCCCTTATTCCAACCCTAAACTTTTACATGGTTTATAAGTCACATTATAACATCAAATATTTGAATTTATTCAGAATATTATATAAACCTATATTTATAACTCAGTTCCTTCACAACCCAAGTTTCTTGTGGGGACCAGTCCCTTCCTTGTTTAAGAGCAATCCATGGGGTTCCGAGAACTTATTATACTAGGCTTAAACATATCCAAGAAGCCCACTGCATGCTGGGAAGTGTGCTAGACTATATATAGTTATTACAGTATAGCACCATTTACCTGCAATAGTCCAAGCTATTTATTATTAACCTGAGCCCCCTGTGCTCCAGAATTCAAAAAACCATTTAAACTGCTTAATTGGATGCTACTTCACACCTCCGTTGCTCCATATTTTTTAGATAAGTGCTAGCTGGTACATATCTGATGATTATGACCCCAAGAATTTTAGAATCAGATATGAGATGCTTTGGCGAGTTAGTTGATTCCCCTCACCATTTGAACAAGCTGAAAGGCTTTTACAACAATCCACTGTCCCTATATTTAAATATAAGAAATTGATTATGAAACATGCCCTAAATGTGACAAAATCCCTGATCCCGGCCCCCTGGAAAAGATCTTTCATTCCAATGATACTATATTGGCTAAATAAGGAAATATCAGTATTTTGAAAGGATAATGGCCTTTGGCAGGACAGACAAATACCGCTTCATTTATACCCCTTGGTTTGACTTTGTTGCCAAACACACTGTGACCACTGGAAACTGTCCTGGACCCTTTGTCTGGGTTCCTGAGGGGTGTCCAAACACCCCCTGAATCTCTTCTACCTCTCTGATCTTCCCCATCTACTTACTTCTCTTTCTTTTCTTTCCCTATTTCATTTGACTCTGTTTTTGTGGATCTATTGCCAGACTTTTGCTTATCCAGTTGATGGGTAACCATAGCTCATTATTCAATGTTCTGTTGTTCTCGTTTAACTATGGCTAAATTGGAGGCGCCCTTTTAGTAATGACACTATAGTATCATTTACCATTTTTATGTAACAAGTTGCTTCTGTTTGTGTATGTGCTACATGGATGTTGTGTAGTGTGTTTTAAAGATCAAGAGAATATTGCACACATCAATTATCCAGGGAATATGTCCAGCAGGCTGCTCCAAACAGGGTGGACCAATGTCCAATACAGAATATAGTAATGAAAAAGTGATCTGGGCACACCTGGAGGTTTCTTTGATAGGCAGTCTTTATTTGGAGTGCAGAATAAAATACAATAATGTTTTGGCTCCCCTGAGTCTTACTAACTTACCTCCAAATCTGGACACAAGCTACTACATTTGATATAAAACTGTTGCCAATAGTCTGTGTTCATAGAAATGTTTTCTTATTATTTACTTCTGTAATTTCATTTACAATAATTGTTTTAACATCCTTCCTATTCATTTCACATAAGTTGTATTATTATTTTTTTTTTTAAATATAACTAGGAAAAGGGGTACATAAGAAAAAAGTGGTGGGATTGGGGAAACAATTTCTCATTCTTCCTTTTCTATTGCTATAATAATCTCTAAAATAAATGTTGTCACAAAACAATTATACAAAGTAAGGCCTGAGTGGGTTATGTATAAAGAACAATTTAGAGGATAATTTCTAAAACTGAAACAAATGCCACAGGAAACAACTGATTGCTCTATTTGTAGAATTTTTCTTGATAATATTAAATGAAACCCTCAAAATTCAAGAGTGGTTTAAATTTAGGAGATACTTAATTGATAGAAGAACAAGGAAGAGACAACTGATGCAGACAACAGCATTGTCCATGAAATGAGTTGAGCATCAGGCAAAAAAGGTTAATAGTGATGAAAAGTAGGTAAATATGAAGGGTACAATATTGAGTGACCTCAAAGAAAGAACCACCAAGGCTGAGAGATAAATTTTCTGTTTGAAAGTCTTTAATAACAATGATGACGTTTAAAGATCTAGAAACAGACTCTCATGACCCACACATCTGTTAAATTTGCCAGATTGCTTAAGTGTCAATTTGTCTACAACAATTTTCACAAGGTGTTAGAAGATAATTTACAAAGAGCTTCACAATTTCTTCATTATACAACAGATATACCAGATATACCAGATATACCAGATATAAAAATGGATGAAGTATTTCCATACTCTATTAATCTGATATTCATTTGCTTTTACCAATAATATTAGTGGGAGCAAGTGTACTAAATTGACAACTGTACATATGTTTTATGTCATTATAAGCTGCATTTTCATCTATGTGCCACGCTTAGAGTACATATTAATTTTGTACCACATCCCTCTTTTTTATGCCAAACCAACCAGACCCAGAGGTATTTTTTTAACCAAGCCAAATTCTGCCAAATATTTGTATTTACCAGCCCAAAAGACAATGTTTAACGTGACCAGCTCAGATCTTAATTTATAGTCCAGTGAAATGAATGGCCACTGAAAAAAATCTGTTGCCAATGGGAATAGACAAAAAAATTATTAAAGGGTTTCTGCATTGTTTTATGGTTTTGAAACTATTGATGAAAGAATATAATGATAGATCTGTCTATAAATCTTGGTACTTGGTAATTGCTTTGTCTTGGTGAAGCAGCACCTTTAACAAACATGCCATTTGATACTCAATGATGAGCTGCATTTTGTAACCAGTTCTTTAAAAAAGTTAACTGTTGTTGAAATATATTGCAATGATTGTTGTTATTATTAAAATTTACCTATATGTAAAAACTGTACATTTTTGTATGCTACAAAATTTGTTTGTTTTTGATATAATGGTTCACATTATGTGTTTTTGTAGAACCTGTTATTGCTAGTTATATCATGCAATGCTTAAAAGTCTATATTAATAAAATTATATCACTGTTTAAACATTTGTTAAATTTAACTGCAGCTGATAAGCTCTAGGATCGAAGAATATGAAAATTCTTGATTATATTCTACCGGATGAAACCAAAGTCAGACATCGATGCAAAGAGATAATTAAATTGCTTTTTTTTTATTGCTTAGTTTCCTATGATTTGGGCATTTGGTGATGACATATTAATTCTGTTATTTGGAGAAATTCTAATTCACAACACTGTGGAGTTCACCCACTATACCGGTAGTGTTTGGAGAATTTTAAACAAACTTTACCCTGTTTGACTATTTTGGCTTAAAATGTGAACTTTCCTTGTCAATACTCCACAATTCTTTGGCTTCCAAACCAGTACTCATGGCCCACCAATAGTGCAGGATATGTGTATTTACAGTCAGGTCCATAAATATTTGGACATCAACACAATTCTAATCTTTTTGGCTCTATACGCCACCACAATGGATTTGAAATGAAATAAACAAGATATGCTTTAGCTGTGACTTTCAGCTTTAATTTGAGGGTATTTACATCCAAATCAGGTGAACAGTGTAGGAATTACAACAGTTTGTATATGTGCCTCCCACTTTTCAAGGGACCAAAAGTAATGGGACAATTGGCTGCTCAGCTGTTCCATGGCCAGGTGTGTGTTATTCCCTCATTATCCCATTTACAAGGAGCAGATAAAAGATCCAGAGTTCATTTCAAGAGTGCTATTTGCATTTGGAATCTGTTGCTGTCAACTCTCAATATGAGATCCAAAGAGCTGTCACTATCAGTGAAGCAAGCCATCATTAGGCTGAAAAAACAAAACAAACCCATCAGAGAGATAGCAAAAACATTAGGTGTGGCCAAATCAACTGTTTGGAACATCCTTAAAAAGAAAGAACGCACCGGTGAGCTCAGACCAGTGAATACAAGTGTGCGTGTAGTTTATTGCTCGATCTGAGAATATGATGAGTGGTATATGAATAGGATGTATGTAGGAAGTGTAGAATTAGATTGAATGTGCAATGTGCCAAGATATGTTTGTTATTAAAGTGCCATGGTTCTTAATCATGCAGTCTCATCCACATATGAAATGTGGAATGCCATTTAAAGTGACAGGTTTGTGGGTAACAATAGTGATGATACCAGGTAATATTTTTTTCATTCAATAAAGTGCATACATTTGAAAAGTGCCAACTGATTAAACTGCTATACTCTTAGTAAGAAAGTGCCAACGTGAAAGAAATTGAAAAAATATACATTTAAGTGTAACTTGTCACTTGGTTACAACAACCTATGTTGAACCTAATACATATCAAATTAAAGTGCAACAAAAATTATGTAGCATTAGTGGAGTACAAATACAGTGCTTTGTAGTATTATTAGTGGTGGGCATATCTTATTATGAAGTAGATATATATATCCATAGGTGTGTACAACCGTAGATCAAAAGTGTGCTAGACCTAAAATATCATTTATGTGGTGGTGTACCATATAATAGTGCTAAACTACTATTTACTCTATATATAAAGTATGTGCCCATACGTATACATAACATATAATGAATAGATAACCAAATGACCGTATACTATTACAGCCAGTGGTGACCTAATAACTTAAAAGTAATATAAAAAACCACATATTATTAAATAATCTAAAATTCAAGCTGTAAAAATACTTATAGAAAGGAGTGGAAAGAAATTGTTTCATTTAATCCTCTAGGAGACACAGTATCGAGTTCATGAATCCAGTACACTTCCCTGTTCAATAGTGCTTTCCCACGATCTCCTGCTCTTCGTGATAGAGGGACATGGTCTATGCCCAGAAACTTCAAGGAGGTCAGCGAATGTTTGTGCTCCAGGAAGTGTTTAGCTACTGGCTTGTCAGATGTTCCGTTCCTATAAGCCGTCTAAATATATAACTATATATATATGTATATATATATATATATATATATATATATATAGTAAAATACTGTGTAAAGACAGCACTCCAAGGACTTCAAAATATGGTGAAAAAAAAGTATCTTTTATTCAGCATCTGCCACAGTGAATCAACGTTTCAGTTTTCTGCTGGAACTTTCGTCACCCGCGCACGCACCCGGTCACATGTGCAGGGATGAAGCTGTCGAGCTGGTCTGAGGTCTGTGAGGCAGGGAGGGGGAGGCAGGCACACTCAAGTAGAGCGTGCCTGCCACTTCAGTTAACTCAGGGGTGCTAACGGAAGTAGGAAGGAATCCTCCCTGGCTGTTTGATTGACAGCCAGGGAGAGTTCCCTGGCTCGTAGAAATCAGCACTTTTATAAACTGGGGTTAAATGAGGATACTCCTCACCCATAAAGCACTTCAGCAAGCTGAAGTGCTTTTGGGGTGTGGAGTGGTCCTTTAAATTGGAATTTTCTTGGTTTAAAAAAGTTAAATGCAGTTAATGTTTTGCTCACTATAACCAAAGCCTTATAAATCATATATATATACACCTGGTGGCAGTCATTTGACTTTTTGTAACTGTCATAGGTTGTATTTTTATTAGTTACTTGTTCCTTGAAATTAGATTCAATTTCCCTGAAGCAATAAAATCTGATTTTGTACATCAGTATTGGCACATATTTATATCTGGCAATTTGCCACGCAATGTATTTATCACAAACTACATTAATTTTATAAGATTTATACATTTTCAACACATGGATATTTTATTAAATAGATGGTAAAAATTACACAAATTCCATTATATCAGCCTGTACGCATACTAATATTGATTCTTTATTTAGGAACAAACCATAAAAGATAAATGCTTCATGTAAAAGCAGGGCACAAAAACAGATTTAGATTGTCTAGAGTGTGATGAAAATGTAACTGTATTAAAATGATACTGAGATAGAATATGTAATAATTAGAGCAACATATCCTTCCTATTGTTTAAAGTTTTAAAGTGTTTGAAAATCAAAGGGGATAAAAAAACCTCTCTCCGGGACTCATGCAATAAATAAAAAACTCTCTTAGGGACTCATGCAATAAATAAATGACTCTCTTAGGGACTCATGCAATAAATAAATGACTCTCTTAGGGACTCATGCAATAAATAAATGACTCTCTTAGGGACTCATGCAATAGATTGGGCAAAAACTCCAAGTAGTACTTACTGATGCACCCAACAGACTTCCTTTGATTTTTAGGGAATACAACATGTCTTTTTCTTACAGGAAAAGTTTCACAAGTGTGGAAATGAGCTTATGTGCCATACTACAATAACAGTATTCCCCCTCTTAAAGGAACTCTATAAGCACCCAGACCACTTTGTCTCAATTAAGTGGTCTGGATGCTATGTCTCCCCGCCCCCCCCCCCAGCCCCCTCCCTTCCCCCTGCCCCCTACCACCACCCCCTTCCAACCATGCACTTTAATCCTGCAGCTGAAAATATTGCAGTTCTGAAGAAATGGCAAAGTTTTAATTACTGACAGTCACTAGAGGTGCTTCCGTAAAATAGCACACTTGCCTCCCAATACTTTCCTAAAGGAACCTCAATGATCTCAACCAAAGAGAAAGAGCTGCACTAGACCAGTGCTGCAAGGGAGAAAAGGTAAGTATAATCATCTTTTTAACAGTGGCAGCGAGGTCTCATTCATCTAAACAGTGACTAGGACACTATTATTCCTAACACTATGGTGTTCTTTTAAAAGGGAACTGTCCTGTCTCTGGAATTTTCATCAGTGTACGCAACATAGAAAATCACCTATAACTTGCGTTTACATTTTTTCTCGAAATTATTTGTTTTTGTTTTTTTATTCATATTAAAGATTTAGTAAATTACATCATTATCTATTTCAAAGAAGGCAAAGCAAATGTCAAGGAGAATACAAACACTTTAATTTTTTTCCTCTTCTCTGTATGCTTTCTCTATTGTGAATTTGACACTGAATGACAAGGGGCTATGATGTGCTGTCAGGATAAAAAGGTATTTATTTTCTATATTGAAATTTTATTTTTCAAGCTTCAAAAATACATATTTTGGCACATAAATATCTGAACATAATATTAAAAATACTGGGAAATAACAGTTCCCTTTTAAACAACAATGGGCACTATATGACATTTTAATTCCTCGTGCAATGAGAATAATGAAAAAGTAAGATAAGTTCTAATTGACCTCCATTTAATCAAGTGGTTTCTGGTTATGCATCCCTCTCCCCCCCTCATACCAAAACCCATTGGTCAAGGAGAGCTATCCTTATTACCTCCCTACTATGAGTGCACA